CTCACGGATAGTTGTACTTTTATATAGTTTTCTCCTTAATTTCCGTTCTTGTAGAGAATTAAAAAAGCAGCTGTTACTCAGAAATGTCAAAAACAACAAAAAACAAAACGTGCAAAAGAGAAAAAATTAATAGAAAACACGGACTTTATGCCTGAGTAAAATAAGACTAAATGTCTCGTTTCCCCCTTCTGACAATGAGAAATTAGAGACTTTTAAGGAGAATCCTCTAACAGCTGTGGCCTCTTTTAGCTCTTAAACACTAGAATAACATCAATCTTAAACAAATTAGATAACTTTTTAAAATTTTGGTATAGATTTTCAGTCATCCGGGTGATCATTTTATACTAAGAGCTTGAGTAAAAGCAGGCAGACTTTTCTCTCTTTTGCTTCTAAGCTCCCCAACATGGAGTTTAAACCTGAGGAGAAACAGATATTCAGCATCTTCATAGTTTGGAAAGTTTAGGGGCCTTTAGTGGGCTCAAAAGCACTCTTAAGCATTTTAAAACTTTTATTTATAACCTTTTCAGACTGATAACTACTTCTTGTGTAAAATCTGACAATTATAAAATTGTGGATTAAAGCCAAAAAATAACACAAAAAAACTAAAACAAACAGCATCAATCCAGTGTCAACTTTTCTGTGATCACTTTAAAGGAAAGTAAAGACACACAGTCTCTTCCTCATTAATCACTTTATATATCTCACCTCATTCGTTTAAAGACTCTGTTTGCTCTTGTTGTTTTATTTAAAAGTATTTTCTTACAAGGAGACGACAGTTAATCACACTATTACAGTAAACACACCTCATAAATATAAGCTTTAATTAAAGTAGTGAGCAGACAGATGAAGTAAATCAACTGATTTATCTTTAAAATGGTTAAATATTAAATCCTGTAATGTTTCTCCGTTCGTTTATTACCTTATTGTAACATAACTGAGTCCTGTGTGGGCTGGAGTGGCTAATGCTAACCTGTTAGCAGTGATGGTTGCCATTAGTACGTTTTTATCAGGACTGACCGACTTTTTAGAGTCTTTCCTCCGGGGAAAAGATGGTGATGTGCCGGTCGAAACCTGCACTGGACCCCCGGGACATGACGAGCTGGTTACAAATGAGTAAAAGTGTGAACTAAACTGAAACTAAACTTAGATGGAACAGGAAAAAAAAAACATTGGCGAAAACCGGAAGTGACCCCGTTCACTTCCGCATCCGGGTCATTTCCCGGGTTCTGTTTCCAATTCGAAACGTTGCTTTAAATAACTGATTAACTAAAATAAATACAAATCTAAACTATTTGATTGGGTCTTAAACTGAATAAAAATAAACGTCAATACAATGTCATATTTGTGGGTTAGACTACATTTTTATATTTAACAGGGTTTTTTTTTAAACATAGTTTTACCCACAGTGTGATAGAAAAGGCCCCAGAAATTTTACACAGCAAGTTAAGGTGTTGAAAAATATTTTGAAAGATAAACTTTTTTTTTTAGCTGTTTCATTAATCGTAATAAGCCCAGATTATTAATCAATAAGGATATTCATTTTAAATACACAAAAGCAAGGTGTTTGGCATTATGTATCTCAGTCTCTACCTCTACCTCTGTTCTCCAGTCTCTGAGCTAAATGAGCCAATAAAAATCCTTTTTATTGAGATTTTCCATCTCTCTTCTAGAAGTCATGTGTTTTCTTACTGTGTGTGATTATCTGCAGTATTTATTAAGGAGTTATCGTAGGTTTTTGGAACCAATTCTAAGAATTACAGTGTATTCTGATAGAAGATTTGAACCAACATACCAATATTTAACACAGAAGTCGCTCCTGGAACCAGTTAGACTGTTATAGAGGTTCTGCTGTATTTCATTGATTCAAACTGATATTTGTCATTTGGAATTTTTTTAATAATCCGGACGTTTGTGTCATTACAAACAAACCTGGTAATGATTATCTTCAAATAGAAAAAATCCTGATGCGTTCACAGGTTAACGGGTGGGCAGCACCCTCACAAAAGGCTCATTTAACACAGAAGTCGTCCTGGAACCAGTTAAATGATGATGCGATAGTTTTTTAAACCAGTCCAGACTGATGTGTTTTGTGTTTTTACGGTTTTATTATCTCTCTCCCCCCCCGGGTTCAGTGTGGGGGGATCTTCCTGAGGCAGATCCATCTGTTCGGCACCTCGTAGGAGCTCCTGTCCGGGGAATCGTCGTAGGGCAGGTGCCAGGAGTCCCCGCTGCTCTGCACGATGGTGTCGTAGCTCTGGACGCTCTGAGGGACACAGGCAGGGGTCAGTCCACCTTAAAAGGGTCAGTCCACCTTAAAGGGTCAGTCCACCTTAAAGGGGTCACTCCGCCCCCCCACCTTAACTCATTGACCCATTGACTCATTCACCTCTGAAGCATGTTTGCAATTCTTTTAACTCATTGACTGCCAGAGTTTTTGGAGCATTTTGACTGATTTTTCTAGAGCCACAGAATAGTTTGTGCTATGACTATGTAAACACCGAACACACCAAAAGAAAGAGTAGACTCTCTTCTTTCATCAGGAAAAAAAATGTGTTTCTACCTTATTCCGTTCTTCCTGGACTTGCGTCTCACCGGCGACATGTTCTCTCATAGAACCGTTCCCTTTTTCTTATTTGCCTACAGTCTATGCTCATCTCCCATCAAAAGTGGCACTGCCCCCTAGAGGCTCAATTTGTTACTACATACTCTGTCTAGAAGCCTGATATTTACGGACAAGCTTTAGCAGATCGTCCCCCAGACACTCTCGTTGAAAAACATAAAAGACCTCTATAGACGTCTTTGGCAGCCAATGAGTTAAAAACCAGAAACGGATCTCATAAATTTCCGGGCAGGTCCACGTTTCCCTCTGGGGAGCACTCCCTCTTTCTCTAACATCAGTCTGTGAACATCTGGATTTGAGGAGAATTTTAGTTTCTCCTGGGTCTTCTTTGAGATATTTGGAAAGTCTCTGGTGTGT